TTTCTTCGTGGCAGGGAGGATCTAGAAAAGCTGTTCTCCGGCATGCCTGCCATATTCACAGGGATGTTAGGAGGTGAACCCTCAACTTTCCAATAAGGCCAAGGGGAATAAAAACACTTAACCAACTGGGGGAGGAATGAATATTGAGATTTTGAACTTCCAAAAATGTTACTCATCGATATATCAATTGATACATATGAGCAGATAAATACTGATATGTATCCCAATATAGTTGATATATATAGGATTTGAATTTTTGAATGGTGGTGGCAATTTGCAGGTGTTGCATCACTTCTGGGGAAGAGATCTATGTCATTTTTAGCCATTGAAGTGTGTGATCATGAAACCAATGGGGTTGAAGATGACTTATCAGATGATGGGTCACAAGCTGGCGAGAAGAAGAGGAGACTGAACTTGGAACAAGTGAAAACACTTGAGAAGAACTTTGAGTTGGGAAACATGCTTGAATCTGAGAGGAAAATGCAGCTGGCAAGGGCTCCTGGGTTGCAACCAAGACAAATAGCTATGTGGTTTCAGAATAGGAGGGCTAGGTGGAAGACAAAGCAGTTAGAGAAAGACTATGATGTTCTTAAGAGACAGTTTGATGTTATCAAGGCTGATAATGATGCTCTCCAATCTCAGAACCAGAAATTTCAAGCTGAGGTATGGTTTTCGAAATTTTTGTTTTTTCGAAAACAAAAATAATGAGGAGTTCAGAAACACTCATCGTTTTCGTTTTTGTTTGAAAACAGCTGTTGAAAATTTGGAAAAGTTTTTGAAAGTGTTTTTCTAAAAGACGGGTGTTTTTAGAAATTGCCAAACAAAGTTTTCAGATCATTGTTTTTTAAACAAAATTTGAAAACAAAACCAAAGGGAATTAATTCCAAAATTATTTTGATGCTTTGGGAAGATGCATGTGTTGATAACTGTTAGATTTTAGTTTGGACAAAATTCCCCTTCTTTATTGCCAATTGAGTAAGCAACTTTTCTTTTGTTTTGTTTTTGTTTTTGTTTTTGTTTTTGTATTTTTTTTTGGGTGGATTGATTAAGAAGAGGAAAAAAAAATCAATTTGAATCCCTTTAGATAGCCATAATTATGGTCGTCATTTTGGGTGTTGTTTCTGTTTTTCAAGTTTTTAGAAACAAAAACAATGAGTAGTTCACCAATTGTTTTCATTTTTTTGTGGAAGTAACTTTGAAAATTTAAAAAACAATTCAAATAAGCTTTTTTCAAAAAACTTCAAGTTTCAAAAACAGTTGGCAAGCAAATTTTCTGAGTCAACTTCTATTTTCTGTTTTCCCAAGTAAAAGACTATACTAAACTCACCCATATAGTTGTTGATTTTCATTCCATTCTGTTGCAAACACAGAAAAGAGCATAAAACATGCATTAATGAAATAAAATTTTATAAAATTCGCTGATGAGGCCCACTTTAAAAAAAAAATTGTCTTTCATATATAGTAATGCTACAAATCCAGAAGATTGACTTTAGAAAATCACATAGAAAAAAAAAAAAAAAAATCAATAGTCTACATCTATTTTGAGTGTGTGTGATCTACATTCCATCAACTTTAAATTTACATCACACACTCACTTTTAGAATAATATTCAAGATAAATTTTCATGAACCATTGCATTTTATTCCATATATATTTTATGTTCGATGCTATAATCAGTTTTTATGTATCCAAAACTTCTTGATTTTTCCTATCTAAAAAACGAACTTCCTGATTTTGAATCGAATGAATGCAAATAATAGCACTTAAAAACAGAGAGCCAACAGAATCAATAAACCTAAACAAAGAGACAGAGGGTTCAAGCAGCAACAGAAGTGAAAACAGCTCAGAGATCAATCTAGACATCTCAACAAGGACCCCACCAGCCATGGACAGCCCTTTATCAAACCATCATCATGGCCATCCAATTATTCCAACAAGCAGCAGCAGACCCCTCTTTCCACCCTCCATCATCACCAGGCCCACTTCTGCTGTCGTGGCCCACCTCTTCTTCTTCATCAAGACAACCTGACCACAAGATCATTGATCATCAAAATGCTGTCAAAGAAGAAAGCTTTTCCAACATGTTTTGTGCCATTGATGATCAATCTGGGTTTTGGCCATGGTTGGAACAACAACACTTCAATTGAATTGAAACCCCCCCTTGGCTGTATTAGAATCAACAATGCTATATATTCAGAAAAAAAGAAAGAAGAAGTAATGTTACATGTAATCTCATTTGTTATCTTATTTTCTCACTTGAGACCCAATTACTGTGTTTAGAGATGAGAAAATATGATAAGAAATCTATATAATATGAGAAGAAGGTTTTTGAATTTTTGTGAGATTCACGTCATTGTTGGGCCAATGTTCGCTCGAAAAACAACAGCTCTCCTTCGTCGAGTCAAATCTGAGGGCAACAATGGTAGGTACTTTGTTGACTTTGTTAATTTCGTGAATTTGAGTTTAATTCTGATATTCTGAGAAGTAGCTAGAGATATAAGCTTTACCCAGATTTGTAAAGTTGGGGGTTCTGATTTGTAATTTAATTTTTGCAATTTATTCTCAACACTTTTATGGTGTTATGTAGTTAAGAAATTCTTAATGTTAATTAATTGTAGATGATAACAATCTGTTAAGTTTATGTTGGATGCATAAAGAATTTTATTTTATTTTAACTATTATTTTGGGGCCAACCATGTAAATGTAGAAATGTTGCGATAATAAAGTCAAGCAAGGATACGAGATATGCGGTTGACTCGGTGGTGACACATGATGGGACAAAGTTTCCCTGTTGGGTGTTGCCGGATCTGTTGTCATTTAGGCAAAAATTTGGAGATGAGGCTTATGCCAAGGTATTTCAAACTTGAACCATTTGATTTGTGTTTTTTTTTTTATAATTTTTTTTTTGGTTCAGTCTATGGTGTCCCAGTTGTTCTATGGGCTTGGTAGCTTCATAAGTTGGATGTGTTTGATATATTGTAAGTGATATTGAACTGATGTTACTATCATCTTCATGGTTTTATGTAAGAAGAATTTGATTGTTTCTTGTGGCTTGACATTGTACAAGTTACTTTTCTAATTATTGGTGTTGGTAAACCATATGTGAGCTAATTTAACTTGTAGACAAGTTATCTTAGTTGTTTAGGCTCTCTTTTTTATTTATTTTTTAAAATGTGAAACCAAATGCTATTCATGATTAACACCATTGCAGTCCTATATTTAAGTTTGAAGTTTATTTTTATTTTTTTATTTTTTTATTTATTTATTTTTTTAATGCTTTTTCTATTATCTTCTAAATGCTGGTTACATGTTGGCAGCTGGATGTGATTGGCATTGATGAAGCTCAATTTTTTGGCGACCTTTATGATTTTTGCTGCAAGGTTGCTGACCATGATGGGAAAACTGTAATAGTTGCTGGGCTAGATGGGGACTACTTAAGGTTTTTCTTATAGATTAATTCTTTTTTTTTTTCTTTTCCTTGATGCAAATTTGTGACGGGCCTTTGTTGTGGTGTTTTTGCTTGATAATATAAATATTTTTCGTATGCCCGTGTCTAGGCATACACAAAATTCATGTTAAAGTCAATAAATTTGATAAATTACATTTTAAATCAATACTTTTAAATTTAATTATATTTTAATCTTATAATTAATTACATTATTCCTTTTAGACACGGGTATACACTAGGGTGACACATTACTTTCATGGGTGATACATTTTTTAATTTTTATGGGTGATACATTTTTAAACCTCCAAACCAACCCTGGGGACTTACCTGATTAGAAACCCATACTTTACGATAAATCAAAATTTTATACTTATCAAACTCACCATAAATTAGATTTGTACAATTTATCAGCCCATAAATCAATAGTTTGAAGGTGTTAAAATCAGAATGTGTTAAAATCTATTGCTAAATAAATTATAGTTGTTGCCAAGGATATGCGGGCGGAATGTGATTGGCTAGATGGAAAAAGCAAGCAAGAAAAGCGATAGAAAGTGTAGTCTTAAAAAAAAAAAAAAAAAAAAAAGGAAGCTTTGGGTGACCCACCACCAACCCGGGAAGGGGATCCGAAAATTTCACAACTTCTGGAAAATCACAATACTGTATTTATTATTATTTTTATTTTTAGAATCTTAATTTATTTAGCTTTTATTGTTTGTTGGACAAACTATTAAATTGAAATTCTTAAACAACATAATAATTATTTATTTGATAGTATTATATATATATCAATTGAAATAATTGTTAGTTTTTATTGAAATTTTTAAACAATAAAATAATTATTTGTTTACTGGCAGTGGGAGTATTTCGGTGCTTTTTCGTGGACTGCATCACAAGAGTTCTGGGTAATTTCATTGTTATTTTATTCGAGTTCTGTAAAACGTGTGGTATAAATAAAATTGTTTTAAGTTTTTTAAAAAGAATAGTATTTCTTTATATTTTTTCAATATTTTTGTCAAAACATATTACAGACTCTATAAATTTTAATATGATACGTATGAATTACAATTGTATTTTGATCACAACATTATTTGCACCGTGCCTCTAGGCATGGGCATATGCTAGTTATATAACAAATCAAATGGGACCACATGTGATTTGATTTTAATGCCACATGTGATTAGATTTTAATGCCACATCCCAAATTGTTAATCCCCTCCATAGATAAGTTTCAATATTTCATAGTCCTATGAGAAAATAATAAATAAATATCTTTTGCATATAATTTATATATATTTTTTGAATAGTGCGTATAATTTATATTGATATGGTCTTTTTAGTTACAAAGTTTTTATTAGTGTGTATAGTGCGTATAATTTTATAAAATTTATTAGTTTGTGTAGAGGGTTAGAAATTAAGCCCCAAATTAAGTATGGATCTAAGCGCTTGAGTTATCCCTTTAAGGCGACCATGAATGACTGGAGGAGCATGAGCCAAAGCCCAGGGAAAGTGGGCCAGCAGTGGGCCGAAGCAGGTCCGACCCGCCAAGGTTCCAAATGGACACCACAAAGGAAAATGCCTAAGTCAAGTTACAGAGGCAACACATGCAACGGTCAAGCTGTGGAGGGAACACTTGCGACGGTCAAGTTGCTGAGGCACTTTCCCTCAGCGCCGCTATTACCCAGTAATGTCGGTTCAGCTGCCATCTGAAGTTGCTGAGGGAAAAAGAAAGCTGAAGCAACTGAGTCACAGAGGAGACACTTGCGACCGTGTAGACACCCCATTTTTGACCGTCCTCGAGACTTGGACGTCACCGTTTGAA